ATAAATGGTATAATGCGTTGGATTGATGAATATATTTACTACTATTTTTCTTTTTAATGATTTCAAATGTAAAAAAAGAGCTTGATAAATAAATAAATAAAATGAAAACCTCTACAGAAAAAGAAGTTTCCTCCTTTTATACGGTTTGAATATCTAAAGAAGGAAGATGAATAAATCGGCTGAAAGGTTGTGATAAAGACAAAAAGAATCAGATCATTAGAGCGAGCTATTCTGAGAGTGTTGAAATTTGATTGGGATGTACTTTTGGAATGTTGAAAAGTTAAATGGAAATAAAAGAATTCAAGCAATGGCCTGATCTCTTGGCAGACAGGAGTCTAATAGTTTTTTTTTTGTTTGTTTGTTTTTTTTTGTTGGGTTTTTTTTTTGTGGGTTTCACTCTGAAGGTCGGATTTTACTGTAACGCATTAGAACATATTCCTAATTTGAATGGAAATTTATCGGGTCATTGAGATTCATCCATTTTCCATTTTCTTTCCGCTTGAAGAATCTATGACACATCTGGAATAGTGGCAGGGCTCAAATGATCAACGCCCTATTGTAGAAACTACTGACTGGTTTTTGATAAATTTCTCAGAATCTGGCAGGCGTCCTATGAGAGCTTTGTTAGGTCTGCCTAAAAAGTGTCGAGGGAGATGATTGGGGGGGGCGAAGTTGTAAACGCGAGTGTAAGGTAGAAGGAGGAGAAGTGGAATAAATGCTATATGTAATGGAGAAGATTTTATTCAAGCAAGGTGACGGAATGAAGAGGAATAAGGAATTTTACGGCGCACCTGGGTATTTTCAGTGAAAATTAAGGAGGAGACACATCTTGCTTATCAGATAATGTTTTGATCATGGGCCCGAGGGCACTGAAGCATTGAACGCCGTTTCAATCCGACTTTTTAAATGTCAAGGTAAGAGTAATGAAAAACAACGCCAGAATACTTACTGGGGAGGGCCTCTTCCCGGAAGGGGTTTATATTGAATGTACATTCTTTTTTAGATTGACTAAGTGAGGGCAGATTCTTTCAATACAGGAAACCGAGATAGAGAAACGTAGCTGTAAGAAAGTATCTAAGACTGCAACTTAGGACGCCATTGATTTAGGATTCTATAAGGTGGCCAGGCCTAATGGATCGTTTTCGAGGACAGCGGTCTCCCTCGGCGGCTAGTCAATCCCTGTTGCAGACGCCTGCTCAGGCGCATTTATATTTTGTCGAGAAAAAGCTCTCGATCTCCCAAACGAACACAGACCATGGAAAATAATCTTTAAAAAAAAAAAAGAGAGACATAGATTTCTTCTCTTTTTATACAACTTCGGGGATCACATGGTAACTCTTTCACGTGACAATTGTAACTAATTTCAGTGAAGATAATAACAAGCTTTTTGTTTTGTAATGATCTCAACAACACGAGGTTAAGTACGCTGCTCCTTTCTCGCCTTAACAACAGTCAATTTCTACACAGTTTTTTTTCCAGATCACCTGTGTGAAACTGTGGTTCATGATGCCACTACGCTGAGCAGTCCTTATACATATTTTCAGCGAGAAAGCGTATCATCTGGAGTGATCAGCAGTTTGAACAAAGCCTATATCCTCAACCTCGTGATCACAATGTCTATGTGCTAGCACTACCATCGACGACATCTGAACAGTCCCATATACCCAATTCCATTCAAAAGTCTTGGGTCAACTTGTGGTATTGTTTTTCAGCTATTTCCCCAAAGATGTCGCACGCTGGGGTTGTCTCCAAAAACCGATGGCAGAAATCAACCATGGTGGGGTTTGAACCTAGATTTCATGATCGGAAAGCGTTCTAACCACAAACTAAACCTTGCCATTGCTAATAAGAATTATATTTATTCGAGACATATGTAAAAATTCACAGTTGATTTATCAGATTTAACTACTTATAGGTCATTAAATCTTGAATTTATATTTTCTTAAAATAACTTGAGCGGATATCTTACCAGTTCAAAAAGTGAAAATTGCTTAGCTCGCGTTTGTTACTAGCGAAAACATGAATCCTTTCCCACTGTTATTGCTTAAATAGTAGGGTAGACTGATTTCTTAATCTTCCTGTGGTAGCTACTCTAAGTATATGAATACTCTGAAATTCAAAACCGTGAAGAAAATAAGAGGACTCGTTTCACTATCTTTCGCAATATTTTAACGCCTCTCAAACGAAACTGCTCTCTATTAATGGCTGATGCTAACCTCCACTAAACTGACTCACTGCAACTTTTCGGGCTAATGTCGGCTGACATGAAGTAGAAAGACTATATTGAATCCATTGCTAGGTCAGTTGATAAGAAAGTTCGTTCACTGTGTCCTGCGAGACAATTTTTTTTTATCCTGAATTTATCTTACATATCTATAAGTCGACCATTCGTTCATGCTTAGAATATTGCTTACACATATGGTTCGGTTCTCCTACTATGTATCTAGAGATCCATGATAAAATCCAAAGAAGAATCAGCAATATTACTAGTTCTGATCTGTCGTCTCGGTTTCAGTTCGTAAAGTTACCTCCCTGTGCTATTTCTACAAATACTTCCATGGCAATTGTTCGGATGAGCTCTTCATTAGGGTACCTAGACTTTACGAATTAAAACGAAGTGCTAGACTGGTGTCACGGTCTCACCAAAATACATTTCAGTTGGCGAGATGTAACCGTAGGTTCTATGCTAACATTTTTTTTTCGCACTTCTCGCTTGTGGGATTCTTTCCGGCTTCTTGTTTTCCAGCCAAATTTAATCTTCAAAAATTTAAATGCAATCTTAATCTCTTTCTGCTGTCCTCTTGATTACCCTTCTTTTGTTCTTGCTTTTTGGTAAAGTTTCTGTTTACTAATTCTTCCACACCCAGTAACATCTTATGTCCTAGTGGCTTTACTGCCTTTCTTGGGTTGTAATCGACAAAAAAAGTCACGGCAATTCACGAACGATAAAGGAAAAGGAATTTCTGGAGAGCCATAAATGCCTGCGCCCTGAAGAGAGAGAACATTTAAAATGAAAAGGATCAACTCGAAATTTAGTCGTGGTGTTTTTTTAAATGTTACCTAATTCGCCATTTGTAGTCCAATCTAAACATCTTGGTTGAAAGACAAGTTACACTTCCCTATACAAGACCTGTATAGTTCTAAAGACCAGTCAAATGAGCTGTTTGGTTGCATTTTTAGATGTCATAGGTCACTGGGTTAGATGAGGCAGTTACAATTTCAAAAAGAAACAAACGTTTCCGGCGCATTTATTAAACAAATTTAGTTTTGGTACCAACGATTGCATTGGACTGAAATAAAAATGATTTAATCAAATACGGACCGCATTAAAAGATAGTGAGACGACACGATTTCAGCCGAACGATGAACGAAAACACGATAGAAAAACTGAATACAATGTTTGTCGGAATATATATATATATACAGTGTAAACTAGGGCACCTCGAGATGGTGTAATGATTAGCAAGCTTGTACCGCTAGAACATTTACAACTGAGTAGTGAGTTCGATCCTCACTGGGTGCCCCTTACTTTCGCCCTTGTGCTTCTTCCAAGCTACTCTTGGAAAATCCCTATATACAGTGCAACCTCGGTTCTTGAATGTCTCACAAGTCGAAGAAATCGGTTTTCGAACAGAAAATTCAAGATGAAAATGCCTCGGTTATCGAAGAAAATTTCGGTTCTCGAACAACATTGCCGAAGCGAGTGAACCCGAACGGAATATTTTCTGACTTGACCGCCGTATTGTATACATTCGTGTATTGTGGCGTGCTTTTCTTTTCCAATTTTATTGTACTGTGCCTTTTTTCTCTACATTGATTCATATTGGAAAAATAGTTTCGGTTTACGAACATTTCGGGTTACGAACGGCTTTGAGGAACGAATTAAATTCGTGAACCGAATATATATATATATGTTTGTGTGTGTGTGTGTGTGTACATTATATATATATATATATATATATATATATATATATATATATATATATATGTCCATCCCACAAAATGTTTAATATCTAAAAACCACTAAACTAATTGAATTTCTTTTTTTTACAGGTTTTCAGATAAGACGTTTAGCAATCGTTACACCATTTGATTTAAAACCCTTTGAATTATTCAGCTAGAAATAGAACAGGTTAAATTCGTTCTGTGTCAGCCGCACTGTCTTCCCGAATGCGCAATGATGAGAGGAGAATTATCATTCAGGCCTTCCCTAATGTTACCAACATTCATACTCTAGCTTCCATTTTCAAAGTCCATTAAAAATCCATCAAGCGAACGGTAAATAAGGAAAGAAAAAAAAAACGGGAACAGTAGAGACGAAAACTAGATCAGGTGGTCACAACAGAAAGAGAGATCATTATTTGAAATTAGATCTAAAGAGATCGATTAGAAAAGATCCAACTCAGTCCATAAGACGTTTGGCACGTGAGAGGGGAGTTTCATCTATGACAGTCCAAAGAGTAGTGAGAATGAAATCGTACGTGAAACGTCTGAGGCAAATTGTTACTCCAGGATAGAAGGTTAGAAGCTTTGAGGGCGAAGATCATCTTGAATAAGTTGAAAAATGATCCTGGAATATATATATATATATATATATATATATATATATATATATATATATTAACTTTATATCAATCCCTCATGAGCTTTCGATCTTTAGCTGTGATTGATTGATGATGAACAATGTCAATTTCATTTATGAAACGCGGTTCTTCTGTTAAGCTTCGAGAGTAATTATTCATGCTTATTTCTCAAAGTAGAGTCCAGTAGCGTTATAAAAACCTCAGAGAATTCCAGTAAGATATTTTTAATCATTTCTAAGATACAACGGTTCAAAATTTAATACAATTGGACAACTTATTTGTTACATCCAGTATATATATATATATTTCCGAGGGTTCAGTTCCACATTCCAATCACCCGAAGAAGGCCAGAGCGTACAACGGCCGAAACGTTGTAATAAATATGCTGACAAAGATGAGGACAATAGTCCGAATAATCTAAATAATATATATATATATATATATATATAGATAGATAGATAGATAGATAGATAGATAGATAGATAGATAGATAGATAGTACAAATGACAGGACTTACATTTGGAGAATATATGGAACAATAAGTTTGTAAATAAAATAGAGAAGTTTTGGTTGGATTAATGGATAGACGGACTACTGGAAATTGTTCTTATAGAGATTTCCTAAGAGTAGCTCAGATATGGCACAAGGTCAAAAGTATGGAGCACTGAATGAGAATCGAACTCACTCTCTCTCTCTCTCTTTATGTGCTATGTCTTGTAAGGACGTAGGTTATTATGGCTCCCCACCTCCTTCTATCCCTTTCAGCTCTCAACAATTTCCTTCCGTCTGCTTCCTTCCCCAAACCACGTCTATCATCCACTTGCTTAAGTCCGCCAGGTATGTCACGCGTTGTTTTCCCTTGTCTCTCATTCCCTCTATTCGACCCTTGTGTATCAGATTCTCCAGGCCCTCCTATATTATCATGTGTCCCAGAAACTTCAGCTGCCTCTTCCAGATATTAAGTATAACTCAGTAGTAATTGATCTAAAGAGAGAAGCTTGCTAACTATTACTCCACGTCAAAGTTGCCCTGGAAATTCCCTTTATACCTGAAAAATAGATTTATATAAACGCAAATAGACTGTAAATTTCAATAAAAAGATTGTGTTAAATGTTAATCGGATTAAAAGAAGGACAGAGTTTTGGAAATCGGATTAGCCTGCATGTACTTGAATTGAACTCTGGAAATGCTCTGAAAGATTTTTTTTTTTTTGTTTGTTTGTGTTTTTTTTTACAATTTTTATTTGTTTTCTTTCTTAATCGAAATGAAAAGCTTAAATACGTTTTGACGTTGGTGAGGGACAAAAGACTGATTCTTTTTGTGTTCATTGCTAAAATATGTTTCAGAAGAGCTCATTAAGTTTGTCTTTTTAACTCCCTTCCAAATTGCAACCTGACATAACTTATCCTGTTGCTCATGACATTTTTGAATAACATAATCATTCAAGTCCGGTGAATTTACAAAAAGACAAGAACAAGAAACCTTATCTGGGTGGAGCGTTTCACAGCAAATTTGGACGTAAAAGTGGGTTGAGATTTTCCAAGAATAAAATTTAGTCCTGAGATGAAACATTGTCATGAATGATTCAGGCTGATATCCTTGTCAGCGTTATTTCTGCTGGCACGCTCTCTGAGAAGCAATGTGATTATTATTATTATTACGAATTATTTACGCTAGTATCCTCTTCATTGTTGTTTCGATCACAACGTTGCAGCCGGTATATTTTTGGCCTTCCTATAATGACGTTTCTCCGGAATAAAGTAATTATTCCTCGCATTATTCAGATTAATACTCTCATCTTTGTTGTGGAGATTAATAAATCATAGTCGGTATTCTCTCAGGCGTTCAATGACTTTATCATTATTATTATTATTATTATTATTATTATTATACGCAAGGGGTTACAGTGGATTGAGAACAAGAGTAAAGAGGCGTGTTTGAGGAAAGGTTACAGAGAAGGGCGAGGAACAAGCTCAGAGAGTCAGATGTCGATTGACATTACACTTGAATATTTAAAGATTATAGTCATCGGGGAAGCAAGTAAGGGGAAGGGAGTTCCATTGATGGGAAGTGCGGCAGAAGAAGCTGTTTGAGAAGAAGAGGAGGTTATATTTAACCGTTTTGACAATGAAATGGTGGGACAGAGATGCCGGCCTGGTAGCACGTTTAAACTTATGTAGTCCGGGAACCAGCGAAAGTAGCTCGTCGGAACAGTTGCCGTTGAAAATATTTGTAGAAGAGACAGAGGGAGGCCACAGTACATCTGTGGGATAGCGATTGTAGACTAGATGCCAGATCAGGACCTATCATCTTGCATATTCATTTCTGGATTTTGTCAAGTACCTCGAGACGTATGGTGGGAGCCCCAGACCATATATGACATTAATATTTTATGCAAGGACGGATGGTTGATTTATAAATTTGAAGGATGGACTCAAGCGAGAAAAACTTTCTGGCACGACACATAGAGCCAACTTTCCTTGCTTCTTTGGAAATATTCACTGAGTGTTGAATAGAATTCGCGTATGTAATTTATTTGGATAAAATAGAAAAAAGAAAGATAGAACCTGTTTTTTTTTTCTCTACTAAACTTTTATAAATGATAAACTGAGATTATAAAATAACTCATTGTCATTATTCCATTTGTTATTCGAACTAGGATCCTCGTCCTTGTTGTTTTTATCACAGATTTTCGGCTAGAGTTTTCTTGATTTTTCCATGCTTCCGTAAATCTGAAATGAATATTTGTTCTTATTCTACCAATTACTCAATCTAATGTTCTCATCCTTGCTGCTTCCATCATTACCGTTCGGCAGATGCATTCTTCAGTCTTCATCATTGTGTTCTATCCTCTATCATTACAAGAGCCAGATCAGGCCTGAAATGGAATATTGCTGTCATATTTGGGCAGGAACTTCCCAGGCCTTACTTTCCATTCTCGATATTGAAATATAATAAATATATTTGGTACTCTATATCATTTTTATAATCCAAGATACTGCCATTTAAAATGTATTCCATCATTATGTGACAATATATAGATATATAAAGCATGATTATATATATATATATATATATATATATATATATATATATATATATATATATATATATATATATATATTTATGTGTGTGTGTATAAAGTGAACATAGAGTCAACACTTAGAGGCGACAGTCTGTTTTATGCTAGATGCAATCGTCAGGCCTGACGATTGCATCTAGCATGAAACAGACTTTCGCCTCTAAGTGTTGATTGATTTATGTTCACTTTTATATTTACACACGCTCTATCTCTGATATTGAGCACTTTATCCCATAAATATAGCATCTTAAGACTATATATATATATATATATATATATATATATATATATATATATATATATATATATATATATATATATATATATATATATATATATATATATATAAACACTATACAATATTATATAGTACTATGTATCATTACTACATATTAATATATATTACTATATATTATTACTACATATTAATATATATTACTAAATATTATTACGATGCATTATTACGGAGGCACGGTGGAGTAATGGATAGCCGTTTGGCTTGAAGTATAGGAGAGCCGAGTTCGAATTCCACTCGAATCCATTATTTGTGAAAGGTATGAATTCTCTTCTTCTCCCCCCAGCTATGGGTAAATAGAAGGACAGACCGTGTTCTATACACTGGATGGTAATTTGTCTATCGCAGAAGGAAATGGCAACCTACTGAGTGAAAAATCTGCCTCGTCAGTCATGTATTGAAAGAGTCATGATCTCCTTAGCGTGTATCACGCATGGCACATAACTGAACGTATGTATATATATATATATGTTTATATTTATTTCCTGAGAAATTACTATCTTTTACATATATATTAAATATAATCTATGGTGGGTTGGTAGGCATGCAAATCAATAAATCCGCAGATGAAAATGAAAAATAAGTTTATTGTATGCAACAGATATTTATTTTCAACAAAACGCCTCTCTTATTCTCAATGGTGAATCAATTTCATATAGAACATTATGCAGTGAAAAATCCAGATCAAAATCCAGGTAATAACTATCTGCCAGGCTACGGATATATTGATCCACTCTCGTATAACAATCCCGGTTAAGTAGGCCCTTTTGTAATCGTTCACTCTGCCTTTGAGTAGAATTAACAATTCTACTCTCGTAACTCCGTGCCTTTCCCATTGTTCGGAGTGCCGGTCGCGTGAAGGGAACTCTCAAATATCTGCAGCAGAGTCCGAAGGAAACGGGTATTTTAAATTAGAAGGCCGAAAGGAAGCGACTTTGTCGCGTACTTTAGTAGTATGGATTCGCCATATTAAATCAGTGACCTTGTGTCACATTATGCCAATGAGGGACGCAAATGAATATTCGCCACCCCCACGCGCACACTTCAAGAAAAAAAAAAAAGGACCTTTTGGTGGCAGTTGTTTTCTGTGAGTAAAGAAAGTATGTCAAAATTAACGATGTTTGCCCTTGAATAGACCACGGGAGACATAATATATATATATATATATATATATATATATATATATATATATATATATATATATATTAACAAGCCTGACCCCACAATTTCTTTAAGGTTTAAGCTGGATAGATTTCACGTGACTCAGTGAATCGAAAATTCAATAGCGGCTGTGATTCATGCAATTGATGGGCTAATATAAAAATGATGTTTCAATGACTCGTAAAAATATATCAATAAAAAAGTCACCCTTTGAATATCAACTTTCTTTCTGTATAAAGTACTTTTTTATTCAAATATACCCAACATTAAAATAAAAATTTGGGAATTATATATACTTTTATGGTGTTCGAAGCCACTTTACACTTGGTGCAAAGTGTAATTTTCAGCAAAATTCTACTTTATTCACGCGGCAAGTATAACCTACTTTAAAATAAAAATGTATCCATTTGCATTTTCGGCCTTGGTGTAATTTTTAGCAAAATCTTGCTTTATTTATGCAGCTAATATAAATTAATTTAAAATAAATAATTAAGAATTATATACATTATTTTGTTTTTTGACGCCTCTTTAAATCTGGTAAAAGATGTTATTTGCTATAAAATCTTACTGTATTCATGTGACAAATTTAACAATCGCTAAATTTAAAAAATGCGTATTATGCAAAATTTTACGGGATTCGATGCACCGTTACACCTGATGCAAGGTGTAATTTTCAACAAATCCTAATTTATACACGCGTCAAATATAACCTTCGCTAAAATGAGAATTTGGGGATTATATACACTTTTATCTTGTTTGAAGCCCCTTTACACTGGTATTTACTCATTCCCCCACAAGAATGAGATGTGACACAAGGCCGGATTAATGTGGGGACCCGAGCGCGTACACTGGGTAGGGACAAAATTGCCCACAGCCACCGCAACCGTCGGTTGCGCTGGCCTCGGTGCGAGCACCGATCCCTCCCTCTTGTGCAATGGGAGGGCGCGGCCTCGGGCAACTGTTCCCTAGGGCTG